TCATTCTGGACCAGACAGGATATGTTATTTTACATCTATTCTGGAACCAGAAGGCTATGTTACATCTATGTCTATACTTGTACCAGACAGACTTTGTTATATCTACATCTACATTTGTACCAGATTGGCTATGTTACATCTAAGTCTATACAGGTACCAGACAGGCTATGTTATATCTATGTCTATACTAGAACCAGACAGGCTATGTTACATCTATGTCTATACTGGTACCAGACAGGCTATGTTATCTATACTGGTACCAGACAGGCTGCTACTTACTATTGCTACGTATATCTATGCGACATGCTTTGCATCTATGCATCTATCTACTCTTTGAGCCAGACACATTCTTACCTTAAAACCTGGCATACCAGGCATACCTGGAAAACCCGAAGCACCTGGCTGACCCTATAACAATAAATACTATTAGCTTATCATGTGGCTACCATGTGGACATCATGTGAACATCATGTACTTACCTTAAACCCAGTCATTCCAGGAATACCTGGAGAGCCTGGTTCACCTGGAACTCCAACATCTCCCTAGAATTATCCAAAATATAGTTGATGTACATTGCAAGTGCTCAAAAAAAGTATCCTAGATAAATAACTGTATAATGAATAGATTTACTTTGGATTATCCCATGACTTGGAAGTAGTGTCACTCACTATACTGGACATCTCTTTGGAAATCTTCAAATGGGAGTCATGTGATATTTGCAGGGATGTCATGTGATAATCATGGGCACGTCATGTGACCCTATATAAGGTTTCAATGCCCATACATGTATATTAATACGGTACGGATTAAGATATGATAACTCACTCTTAGTCTTCCCACTTGGTCTCCATCATTACCATAGATAATACCAGGTGAACCCTATAAAGAAATGAAACAAAGCAAATATTGATAACATTAGTTAAATTAGTTGAAATCAGGTTTTTGTTTTGTAGGTACATGTTTGAAATCTGAACAATTAATTTTAGTTAATTTTCAAAAATCACCAAAAAAGAATGTTTATACTGTAAACTGCATGTCAGTGAGTGAATCAGTGAGTTAGCATATATGAGAAAAGTGAGTCAATGAATGTCTGAAAGTTGAGTAAGCGAGTTTGAGTGAATGAGTTCAGTGAGTAACAGTGAGACTTGGCAAATTTTACTGAATGTAAGTCAGCTAGTGAGCAAATGAGTTAAAGGCGAGTCACAGTGCCATTTGAAGGTTTTTGACTCGGGCAGCGAGTGAGTTTGTGAGTGAATCAATGAGTGAGTGCAACTGAGTAATATTGGAAACTCAGTGATTGTCTGAATGAGTATGAGTGAGTGAGTGCATCAATCAGTGAGGATCAGTGAGATAGTGTTAGTGTACAAGGGTGAGAAAAAGTGACTGAAGCTATCAATATCATACATTTTCACTTCATTCACTGAGACTACAAATACTCACAGAAGGTCCGGGTGGACCAGGTGGTCCTGAAAATCCTCTAGGTCCTGCCCTTCCCTAAAAAATCAAGAATTCACTTTTAAATGACATAGTCCCTGTCCATAACTTAATTGCCATGAGATTAAATCATTGAGATTAAGTTTAAAACTAAAGATTTTAGACAATACCATGGATTTTTGAATACTTTTGCACCTAATGTACCACTACCATGGCAACAGCTGAAAACATGTTGTTTTTTGAGCGGAGCTTGTTCTGAAATGTGTTAATCAGTACAAACCAAACAATAGTCAACAATTTCATTTCAATTAAACATCATTTAACTCTTAAATATTTAAATATTAGTGACTTAGTATTAATATCTGTCATTTATATTTTAAGCCCAAATAAAGACGCTATAACAATGAAATAGCACAGGAGTCATAGGGCACATACATATTAGAGAATCTTTCGACCAATATCCCAACAACATTTTCAAGGCGGTGAAACACTGGTATAATATAATGAAAGATATCTCATGTACTATAATGTGGAAATACTTACAGTAGCCCCAACTGGTCCTGGTACACCGGGTTCACCAGACTCTCCTTTGGAACCCTGGGGAAAACACATTTAGGATTATTAATATATATGGCTGAATAAAAAATATCACCACCAGTACTTGCTATAGAAGCATTGGCTGACAAAAAACATATTAAACTATAACTTGAGTTATTATATATTGAAAATGGTAGTGAGTAATTATAGTCTGTGGTAATTCATTGCAAAGTATTGATTGACTCGTATATCTCAATAATAATTCAAATCCAAACCCGTGACCTTAGATCCGTTGGTGTAGTATTTTATTGTTAATATTTAATCATATGGACATATTTTTCCTTTACCTACATATCTGAGTTAATATGTTAAAGAAAATATTTAATTTGTGAGGGACATCAAAAGTGGACTTGGGAGTGAAAGCAAGTTTCTGGGTAATATGATTAAAGAGCAGTGGTCGTCACGTCGCGACCTGTTCAATGTGAGACTCATAGCGGCGTACACAACGTGTGTGAGATACATTGTTTGTTTACATGAAATTCGGACATGCATGATGACCACCACCCTTTAAGTACGTACCTTGGGTCCAGTGAGTCCTGGCAGACCTGGCATTCCTTTCACAGCCTGTAGTTGATTGGCAATATGCTCAAAATTCTGTTGATTCAAACATTCAAAGATTGTTGTTTTGAATTCATGATTTTAAGAGCAATGATGTCAGTGAGCAGTGTTTTAATCTCTTAGGGTAGAACAAAGTTTAAATACTTACCAAGGGAGGTCCGGGTGGACCTGCATCACCAGGACTGCCCTGCAATTATAAGATAGATATTTTCTCTGAGTGCAGAAGTGTATTTTATGCAATAATAACACTGGCAATAATGATCCACCAACACTCAGAAACATGGATCTACCAATATTAATGATTTATCAGCACTACTTGTAACCACACTCTACCAACACTACTGGTGAATACAATCTACCAACCACTACTGGTAAATACAATCTACCAACCACTACTGGTAAATACAATCTACCAACCACTACTGGTAAATACAAT